TGATAAAGCCAGGTCTAGAGGCACTCCATGTGTTGATTGGGGCTAGTGATGGTATTGGGATTTTGCTGGGTTACCGCGCTCCCCGCGACCCAGCCACTTCTCTACCGGAGCTGGCCAACTTTGTTTCCGTGGCATTGTTGGGGTCCCCGAGGCTTCTGGTCTTTGGTGACTTCAACGTGCACGCGGGGGCAGAGACCACTGGGTCAGGTCTTGAGTTCTTGGAAACCATGGCTTCCTTGAACATGTCCCAACATGTCATTGGCTCCATCCATGTGGGTGGCCATACGTTGGACCTGGTCTTTTCCACTAATTGGAGCGAGAGTGATCTGATGGTGACCGATCTTGTGTTGGTCCCCTTGTCATGGTCAGATCACCACCTAATAAAGTGTAACCTCTCAGTGGCACTCCCCCCTCGCAGGGAGCAGGGACCTATTTCTATGGTCCACCCTCGAAGGCTACTGGATCCTTTACCCTTGCCTTTAAATTTTATATCTTATTTTACTGATTTAATGAGTTTTGATTATAGAAAAACTTTTACTTGGGCAGGTTTTGATATGTTACCACTAGCTTATGATATGTTGCCACTAGCTACTGTAGTTTATTAGGGCACTATATACAAATTCCATATCATGAGAGAGTTTGCTTTTGTGACCAAAAATCAGTGCAGCCTTCCTCATCAGCCGAACATTTGGCCTCTTAAGGCTTCTCCATCCTTCAAAGAGATCTTGGGAGCATGCAACAGACTATAAAGGAGGGGAGAAAACTCCTAGTTCCAATGGGGGACACAATTCTGACAACAGAATGATAAGCTTTTAAGGCCAGCAACTGACCTTCTTTAGCAGAGAAAGCTAGACAAATCTTCTTACAAGTGTATTTTTATAAGGCCACCTTTATAAACTAATAAATAACTTGTATTTGGCACAGGCTTCTGTGGACTGCAGCCTACTTCTTCAGATGCACAGACTATAGTCTGCAAAAGTTTATGCCAAATAAAAACTATCAAGTCTCCAAGGTAACATAAGAGTATTTGTTGGGGAATTTTTGCTGCAATAGACTAAGAGCTCTATGGAAATTTAAACAAGGCATTTTCCTTCAAAGTAGCTTGTCATCAGTTTATTCCTTTGGAGATGAAACTCCAAATACTGGCAGCAGTATTTACTGAACAGCAGGTTTCCAGCAAAGCCCTCATATATGCATATTATCTATCTACCTATCAATTTATTTAAAATAAAGAGGAATCAGGAAACTATTTAAATATCATATTCATTATCATATTTTAAATAGATGTGAAGGACACAAATCCAGGTAACAGATTAGGGGAAATCTGCAATCAGTTTTATAGAAGCATCTTAGAATGCAACACATACTATTTACACAACAGCCTAGTGTGGGACTGAAGGCAGAAGATGTGCATTGCACTAGCTCCACCACAGCCACCACACTAGTCTTTTTCTTATCCTGCCCAAACTCAGATTTTTCCAAGGAGATCAGGTGGATCTATTGTACAAACACCACTAAAATGAAGAAGAACCAAACATATGTAATTGCTGAGCCAAATAATAAACTACACAGAGCTTCATTTTAAGTCATCCTTGGTGCTTATATAACAAACTATACTTCTCCTGCTACTGCACAGACTCTGTCAGGTTTGTTTCCCCTCACTAACCTTGATTTACTGCTGCACTGTCTTTGTGCCCAGTTCCTGCTTAGGCCTGGGCTATGTGCCAGTTCTGCAATAGGGAAATAAGCATTCCAAGATTGCATAAAGAACATTTCCCTGTGCCTACATTACTTTATAGCATGTAAAAGCACCCATAGCATGTAAAAGTACTGTAGTTTCTATGGCACAGTAATTGAAAAGCTCCTTTACAGGACAGACTGTCAGCATTAAAGGACATGACAGATCTATAATAAGCTCAAGGATCAGTCTCTTGATTTCACAAAGCAGAGATGAATAAAAGAAAACACACACATGACTACAAGAAGGATGAATGTGTGATGTTCAGTCCACGATATACCCGTTAAAACGTGAAAGACAGACAGGTTCATCCCCACAATTTATTGAATGACAATACATTAGAAAGCACTGTACTTTTTAAAACTGTCAGCAACTTAAAGGATGCAGATAATAATGTGGTTTTAAGGCACTATGGAGTTTTATTTCTCTTCAAATCAGCAGCCTGTTGTTTAACGTGTATTACCCAGAACCTCTCCCAGGTATTCATGTTCTTTTGGATAATGTAGCAAACAACCTAAAGTGGAGGAGATCTAAACTAATTTCCAGGTAGCCAAAGCAGCAGTCAGGTAATCATAAATAGATAAAACTGAACAGTAAGGAGATTACAGTACCTGGTTTACTACTCAGAAGTTGACATACACTGAATCAAAATATTTATCCAGTATAGTGCTTATAGTACACTGACAGGCAGTAAGAATCTTAGGTTTCAGATGAAAGCCCTTCCCAGACCAAACTTGTTGATGCCAGGATTAAACCTAGGATCCTTTGCACTCAAAGCACACATTCCACTACTCACTACGTTCAATCCACAAAACTGAATGTGAAATTCCTCAATAAGATTTGTTCCAACACCACCAGAAATAATGGCAAGACAAACCTAGGCAATAATACTTACCATAGCACAGGAATAAACTGTGCTGAAATATCAGCTCTAAAGACTGATTCAAGCAGTAAGCATGTAAAAGGTTTGGCATGCAAGGTGGTGTCATATTGCTCTGAGGGAGCTTTGTCCTACTTTTTCATGGCATAGAAAACTCGCCATTACTTGCCTTAATAACTCTATTGCAATGACACAGCACAGCTTCAATTGCTGACATCTCTTGTTAAAAGGCTGCAGTAGCAGAAGATGGACATCTGAACCAGAGAGGCTTTACCAGACCAAGTAAATAAACTGGGGTAGATTAACAAATAGTCTGACTCACTATAAGGCAGATTCCTCCATTCCTGGGGATGTGGTGGCACTGTGGGCTAAACCGCAGAAGCCTGTGCTGCAGGGTCAGAAGACCAAGCAGTTGTAAGATCGAATCCACGTGACAGAGTGAGTACCCGTCGCTTGTCCCAGCTCCTGCCAACCTAGCGGTTCGAACGCATGCAAATGCAAGTAGATAAATAGGGACCACCTCGGTGGGAAGGTAACAGCGTTCTATGTCTAAGTCGCACTGGCCATGTGACCACGGAAGATTCTTGTTAAAAGGCTGCAGTAGCAGAAGATGGACATCTGAACTAGAGAGGCTTTACCAGACCAAATAAATAAACTGGGGTAGATTAACAAACAGTCTGACTCACTATAAGGCAGATCCCTCCATTCCTATTTATTTATTTGTTTGTTTGTTTGTTTGTATTTGTTTGCTTGTTTGTTTGTTTACTTACTCACTTACTTAGTTATAATCTACCTTTTATGCTGGGGGACTTGGAGGATTTTTTTGGTGAGGAGCTGAATGGAGAATAATGTATCCTATCATTGCCATCATCTTTCAAATATTTCTCTCCTCTGTTCAGGGTGTATATGCCAATATTTTTAATTATTGTAAAAGAAATTTGTGAAATTAAGATGAAGAACAATAGTCACAGTTATACCCACTTTTGCTAGTATTAAGTGAGTATATCACATACAGAAAGCTAATAGAAGTGACAGAAATGGGTCCCCATAATCTCACAGGATGGGAGTGCTCAAAGTATAAAGAAAAACCTTTCTGAATTAAAGATCATAGCTCCAATAAAATTGAGAAAATGTCGAAGTTTCTCATGTGTCATTGGAAGGCAACTAGGAGGTACAAAGCTTGAGGACATGGAAATAAGGGTGATGGAACATCTGAATGAGTCTTCTGTTCAGCAAGCAGAGGGAATGGGAAATGGAGTCACCTGAGCAGAAACAAGAACAAGGAGAGGAGCAATGGATACAGGGAACTATAATTGGGTCTATGACTGCATAATAAAACTTTCCTTATTTACTTACTTACTTACATGCTTACGGGGAACTGATGAAAGAATTGGCTAATCAGAGATCTCATAAATATGCAAAGAACTTAACAGGAGGGAAAACTGTTGGCTATAGCAAGAAAGGAGTGCTACAGAGACTCAGCAACACACAGCTTAGCCAGAACAAGGAATCCAGTTCTATAGAAGTCAGGGTGTGAAAGCCTGGCATTACCTGAATATTTTCTCATTAAAATACTAAAGAAATGTGTGAAAATATTTATAGCTAGATAATCACAGATCTTCCAATTACATTTAAGGTGCTAGGTACTGTTTCCATCTATTTTCTTAGCAATGCAGAACAAGGAAGAGCAAAAGTTAAGGAAGAACAAAAGTAATCTCATGCAAATCCTGGGATTGCATAACCCAAATGTGCAAATAAATATTGGAAGGATAAATTGCCCACCTTGCTCCTGTCCATCTACAATAGGTTTAGCAGCTTAAAGACATTATCATTTAGTGCCACACTTCAGAAACATATTGATTTCATGTATAACTATTAGCACATTAATCTAATAAGAGGTAGCCATAAAAAAGAGGAGTTTAATTACAATTTTGAATTCAATCAGATTACAGGAATTTTCTGCAGCTAAGGACATTAGTGAAATAAATATCTATACTAAATTAGGCTTGTAGTGTTAAAACTTTTGGCACTATTTGCTGGACTAATATATGATGAGATGGTATAGGAAATGAAGTCGTTTGCAGTTCTGCTCCTGTGGCAGAATCCAAAGTTTTTGTTTTGCCAGAAAGAAAAACTCACAGAACAGGCGCCATAGAACTGGGAAGAGATTCCAGGAGTCAGGGACCCAGGCATTAATAGGCTAAAGAGAAGTTGGAAGATGGGAAATGGACTTGAAAGACATGAATCCAAAGGAGAAATAAGTGAAGACTGAGGCTTGGGAATAAAAGGCAGAGAGAACGTAGGCAAACAGGGGCTAATCAGGGAGTCCTGAATTCTCCCACAGTATTAAAAACAGGAAGGGCCTGTAAGCTACAGGGACAGGGAGAGACTGTTATGGAGACTGCCCAACATGGAGAAATAAGACCCTTATAACTAGAAACTCAAGAAAGTGGTAGATCTGCTAGACTGCTCCAGCAAACATAGTGAGGAATCTAATGGCAGCCCTAAGATTAATAAGTTTTATTTGGTGTATGCTTTCATGAATTGGAACACACCCAGTCAGATGCATCCTATGATGTGGGTTTCAATCCATGAAGATTTATGCCACTTGAAACTTTTTAGTCTTTAAGGTACCGCAAGACTCTGTTGTGACACCTAGAACCATCAACTCTGGCAACTCAAACAAGGAGCGGGGATGGTAAGACTAAGTTGCACATGATGACCTGAACTAACCAGCCAATTCTTTGGCTAGAAGCATCTAGTAAACAGAAACAGCCAGTGTCTTTGAAGAAACAATGCATTCGACAGAAGACATAAAATACCTTAAGACAGTTCGCAGTGTGCAAAAGTTTCTTCAGGATTGATCCTGCAATAATGAAAAACATGTTAGGAAACTCATGAATAGTTTAAGAACTTATCTGTCAACAAGTATTTGTGGTACAGCTGATACATCCCAAACCAATATTTCCAAGTGCCAATGTGATAATAGAATAAAGTAAGGTTGCAATGTTATGGTCCTTAGGAGGGCAGAAAGAATTCCCTTTGCAAAGATGAGACTCAGTTTCAGAAGCCCACTTTCCACTCTTGGTGAAACCTTTGAGACACTTTTCTCTCCAGTGCCAAGAGTTTTGATTTCAGGTGAAACAAAAAGCAGATAGCTCATACACCCCTCTCAGTCTCCAGACATCCCTGTGACATGAGGGAAATCCATTCCAGCTGCATTTGCACTGGAAAGAGAATAGTTCCAATTAGGTAATATTCCAGAACAGAAGTGAAGCTAAGACAATACTGGCCTTCACTTTGTCTCTTTCACTATGTCAGCTGCAGATGGACAGGATTGGGATAGAATCATAGAATCATGAAGTTGGAAGGAACCTATAAGGCCACCAAGTCCAACCCCCTGCTCAATGCAGGAATATATATCAAAGGTTATCTGACAAGCGGCAGATTACCTTGGAATGCCTCCAATGTTGGAGCACTCACCCCTCTTGAGGTAATTGGTTCTATTGCTGCACTGCTCTAACAATTAGGAAGTTTTTCCTGATATTCAATCAAAATCTGGCTTCCTGTAACTTGAGTGCACTGTTGCATGTCCTGCACTCTGGGTTGATCGAAAACAGATCCTGCACCTCCTCTGTATGACTGACTACCTTTCACATACAGTGGTGCCTCGCATAACGATTTTAATTGGTTCCAAAAAAAAAACGTTATGTGAAACATCGTTATGTGAAACACCATTTTCCATAGGAATGCATTGGAAACCGGTTAATCCGTTCCAATAGGCACGGATTGCCGTCCTTAAGCGAAAAAACCCATAGGAAACATCGTTAAATGATACAATGTTTCCTCCATTGGAATGTATTGAAGCCGACTCAATACATTTCAATGGCTTTGCGAAGTCAATTTTTGCAAAATTAAGTGTGTCATAAAAGGGTCAAAAAATGGTTTTAAATGCTTGGATTAGCTTCTGCACCCTCTAAAACGGATGCAAAAGTTAATTTGGCTTTGATCTGACTTTTCGTTAATTAATGGTGAATTTTTTCCCCC